TACTGTAAACTCCCCCCGACGCCTTAACCTCTAGAGTCCTGAGCTTTGGAAACCCAAGCTGTGCGGTCCTCATATGAGGACGCAGGGACTCTAGAGGTTAATAAATGTAAATGCACTGTTTCACTGTTTAGCGCCAAAAAAATGAGCAGCAAAACCTTTAGTAAATACCCCCTTTACAGCTAAATGCTCTGTTTACCATCTGGTCACTTACTGCATCTGTCTGCTGTTTGGTGACTAGTGGGTAGTGCAAACAGCTACCTGGGGTTTGGACAGCGACGAGTGATCCAAAACACTGAAGCTGCACATTGGGTTGATATCCACTATAAAACCTCCATAAAGATCTGAAGGTTTGGGTGGTAATTCCCTTTTCCCCATTGCTTTAACATTGACATTTCATAAAGTGGTATTAAAAATGGTTTGAATAAAATAATTTGTGTATATGAAGTTAATGTGCACAGTGTATGTCCAGCGTTGTAGTACTCGAGTCCAGATTTTCAGGGCTTGTAACTTGGCTTGGACTGATGACTCAAACTTGAGCGTTGACTGCATTCAGACTTGGAAGTTGGAGACGAGGACTCAAACTTTTAAATTTTTTTTTAATTTTATTTATTTTTTTGTAACAGGCCATAATTTGGCCTATGATACTGATATTAAAACCTATTGAGCCACACTGTGCTGTATCGGCACACTTCTATCAAAGCGCACTCTGCCTTTCAATAAACGATTTTTTTTTTTTTTTATTCCACTACACTGCACAGCAATAGCAAGAAATATAAATTTTTAGCACCAAGACTACTTATTATATTCATTACCAGAAAACAATTTTAAACCAGTAAAACTGTACAGTATTTTTCTTGCCTGTGCTCTCTCTGTGCAAGCCTGTGATCCACAAATAGCGGTGTCACATGTAATAGTGTATATAATCATGGCAGTCTATCACAACGGAGATAAAAATCAGTAAAGCAGTCCTTTATGGCCTCTCAGTCACAGTCATGGTGGGCCAGTGTCTTGCAGGTTTTTCTTCCTCTGCAGTTTTTGTTGTAATGAACCACTGCTGGTCTGTATCAAACAGATGCCTTCTGGGTGAAATAAAAACCTGCAGGACACTGCTTCTTAAAGACCAGAATAGGGATAAATGTTTTCATGGCTGCAGCGTGTTTTACTGCAGTAGCGTTCAATAGTTCACAGCACAGTTCCAATTAGTATCTAGTATCGAGAGTTGGGATTTATTTACTCTACCTTTAAATACATGACATGTAAAGTAACTTTTACTGGCCACCAAATGCAGATTATGCACGTTATACAACACACTTTGGGGTTTGTGATGACTTGTGCTGACATCTTTGTTTAGCAGAGACTATCTTCTTCAGCAGGGCGTCAGGATGGGAAATAAAATCAAAGTCCAGGAAGAAGGACTGATTCTTGCGTGTTCATCCTGCTGTAATTTTCACACAGAGGAAAAGCTCCAGTGGCTCTTTGTGTGTTGACAGACTGGTACGACTGAAGCAGTCATGTCAGGTACACAGCAAATCAATACCTTTTGGGATGTTGCAGCCTTGCCTGTATATGGAGGGAGGTCTCTGAGGTGATAGCTGTGGAGATTTCATGCTGTGGGCTTAGTTATTTTCACAGGGTCTATATCTCAGACCCATGTCAAGCTGCTCAGCGTAAACAATCTGCTTCCATTTCCACCACACTGATTTCACCTTTCTGATGAATTTGTGGACAGACTACGTCACAGACCCATCATATCTCCACTGAGCCCTTTCACTTGTACTAGTATTGACTGCCCAAACTCACTGATGTGATGCACGACCTTAATTACCTAATGCCCTGATGAAAATTGAATTTTTGGAGACATTTGCTTTTTATAGTTGGCTCTTACTGTATTTCAACTTAAAAGGACAGGTATTGTATTTTGCTTTAAAATCTGATTTGATGTCATGACAGGTGCATTAGGCTCATGATTTCCTTTTCACACGCTTTTGAAAGACTTGGCTTTAAATCAAAAAGTGGAGGGCCTATGTGTTTACTGCCATTGCAGAGAAATAAATTTAGAGCATTGCTTTGGTCATCAGGTCTGCTTACATAACCAGAACATGTGAAAGGCATACACTGGGGCTACAGGTAATCCCAGTTCTTTTTTTTTTATGAAACAGACCTTGGAGACTTGCCGTTTCATCACAGTTCAAGATAGGTGGGAGAATTTGACTAAACTTTCAAATCCAAGTAAAGACACACGAGCTAAATTTAAACTGAAAAATCCATTTCACACTATGTGTGTGAAAAATTATTGTTCCTCTTTTAAATTCACCCATTTACGTGAGAGAATTTCATTTTCTGTACATCTGCGCCTTGGAGGGGCACCAGTAGTCGCCTTATTGTCTCTTCAGAAAATGAACAGGACTTTTATTTCCAAGACCATGGACACCTTACATCTTTTTAAATTCTGGCAGAAACAGTATTTTCATCACTCAAAGAGGATGATGAGTGAGAAAATAGGTTTTCACAAACTTTAAGGCCCCATTTGTGAGTAACTTTGTCCAAAGGCCGCAGCAATACCACAGACGAACATCAAGGCCAGAGCTGATGTACAGAAATGAGTGGCTGTGTCCTTATAGATGTTTGCATGAAGTTTTTCATGCTTAAATCTAAAAATGTCTTTGAAGACATCCAGATGACAGAATTGCAAAAGCAGAAAAAACTGCGCTACTAACTCTGTTTGGTGAACAAATTACAAGTTATGCAAAAGGAAATAATTTTACCACAGCCAAACACTTATTCCTCAAATATCTCACATCAGTGTTTCAATTCACTGTGTCCTTTACTAATTACCGCTGACATTTGAGGGGAGAAAAGTCTTTACTAACCTCCACAATGAACAGGCAGCTCTGTCACTCATTAAAGAAGGCATAATTCACCCAGTCTCATTAAACTGACACGGTGCAGGAACTGGTGTGGTCACTGTGGGGAAAATGTCATGGATCATGCTAATGATCGACCGTAAGACTCATTCCCATGGAGCTCATAACTGCTCACTCCTGCTATGGTGGTGTTCAACTGGGCTACATTATATTCAGAAGTGTTCCTAATATTCTGACACTATCATGCATGTAGCTGAAATACAAAAAAAAAATTCTAGTTTTATGAAATAACCCTATAAACCTTATTAAGAATCACATTGTTTATTTTGTGTAAAAATGGCATGCACAGTGCTTTCTTTAGCTAACTTTGGCTCCTCATTTACTCTCAGCCGGGGACATGGCCATGTTACCCCCACCCACCCACTGAGGTGAATCAGGCCAAGTACTCCACTGGAACCCAATCAGAGAAATAAATGCAGAATGCATCTTAGAAAATAAAACAAATTTGACCAATGTCAGCTATAAAGCACCAGAAAAATATTTGTTGTATTTAAGGCAACAATTTGTCATTTTCATTTTTCATTCATTAATACTGACAATCATCTCATTTTAACTCTGACAGGTGGCACCAAGGGTGGCCAATCAAATTCTGGAGGCGGCTGGCGCCACCCCCTTGGCTCTACTCATGACTGGAACCTGCTGTTACTTATGAAGAAGAAGTAGAAGACTAGAATAACATCTTGTTGGGTCCTTGGGATAAAGATTTGTTGTTGGGCTCCCACTGACCCCCACTATGTATGACAGTGTCTTTATTTCTCTTGACAACCAGAAACCAATTTAATTAGTTCACTGAAAGAAAATTTAATGGCAGCAATTCTGACAACTGCTTAACCGTTTAAATGATTATTAGGCAGTGTCAAAAATTCACTTGTTCCAGCTTCTCAAATGTGAATATTTGCTAATTATACAGGTGCATGAGAGTAATGTGTTGGTGTTGTTGACTGCTGTTCATACAAAACAGGCAGTTCAAATGTGTCCGTTTGGACATTTAATAGATTTTTAAAAATCAATTATTAAAGCACAATACTGTAACTGTCAGACATTAAAAATGACTGACTTATTTTTACGATATAATAATGCTACCTTACCTTTGCTTCATAATTACTTGACCCAAAATTAAAGTAATTTTATAAAACACAATTTTGCAACAAATGAGCTCAACAAAAACTAGTTCATATCTTATTTTGACACAAGACCAGGGCCACCAGATAGAGGACGGAGGGCATCAAATTTCTGAGAAATGTGTGATTAATCAAATTATCTGGAGAGAAATGATCTGAAGTAAACTTGGGACTTTTAGGGCACCTGGGGGTTTGGGCCCCCTGGACAGCTGCTAGCTTTGCCCAGTTAGTAATTCATTCTTGCCCAGAGAAGGGCTGTTTTCAAATATGATTTTACTTTTACTAAAGAGATTGAGATTATCATGTCAATAACATTGGTGAACACAGCATTTTGTTTAAAGTCAGTACAAACATCAAAAACCATCCTGACAGAAAACTCACCGTCAGCAGTAGCGGACGACTCTCTTTCACAGCTCCCACGCAGCCCAAACAGCCAATCACCATGATGATGGTCCCCACAGCAATGAGCAAGTTAGCAGCCGACAGGGAGGGAAGAGATGATGATAGGGTGGCAAAGTTTCCCTGGGTCACAGAGAGCCAGACCCCCACCCCCAGTATACCACATCCTCCCAACTGCAGAGGAAACACAAACGGGTGTAAAGTTGTCAGTGTGCTAACAACACGGTCATACTCATTCTCAGCAGTAACGCAAACATGGCAGTGCATAAAAATATGTGCTGACTTGTTGTGGGCTTCATTTTCCATTTTTTAAATTGCATGTTACCAAGGGAGAACACTGAAGAGCGGAATTGGCAGCAGCAGCTGCAGTCACAGACAGCCGGGGCCATTGATTTGATTTGATTTGATTTATTCTTTCGAGCATGTAAAAACAGTTGATATGACAACACACATAATTTTACACATAATCCAATATCAATTTGCTTATACCTAGTACATGCTTGAATGGAGTAGGAAGAAGTCAGACTTATCCAGTCCTACCCCATGACATCATCTTACCATCATTGGTTTGCAAGCAGTAAATGATTCACTTCTACACCACACAAGTAATATACTAAAGAATTATTACAGAGTGCTAACATTCATACACCACACCCACAATGTTCCATCTAGTTAATCGTTAATCCTGTTCTTGCATATATCTTGATTGACACATACCTTTATATTTATGTTTAAACTCATCAATTCTATTACTATTTTTTATGTCCGCACTTAAATTATTCCATAGTTTTACCTCACTTATGGAAATACAAAATCTTTTTTTGGTTGTACGTATAGCATGAATTTTATAATTTAACTGACCCCTTGTTCAGTTCTTCATCAGTAAAACTGAAAGTTGTTGAACATTTACAGATTTGTTTGCATTAATTCTTCTGCACTCTCCACTGTATTTAACCTCTGGGTTGTGAATACTGTACGGCCGGTTCACCAGCTGTGCTGACAGTGTAGGGATCAAAGTGCTGACTGAGGGAGACAAGCGTTGAATGTTTCCCCTTCACTATCTCTCTTGACTTTTGCTGCTGTTCACTGGGTGTTAAAGGATCTTTCTACTGATCACAGCACAGATCATTAGGTTGTTCACTGGCTTTGTTTCAGTGCAGTAATTTACTGGTTGTATGCAGACCTTGGTTACTGTTTAGTGCCCATTGCACTCAGTATAAACTATACTTTGCTTGTGACTATATTTAAAAATTCATTTCTCCATCATCAACAACAAATTAACTGGGATTACATCTTGGAATACTGTTCCACTATAATTCTGAGTTTTCCAGGTGATAGTGTCAAAGAGGAAGTATGAATTTCTTATTTAACAGACTGAAACCTCATATTAGACTCATTATCGCCTCCACTAAACATGTTGGGTTTTTAAAATATGCGAGAGGTTGCAGTCAGCTGGGGACATGTTTTGAAGAAGTCAGCTGCTCGGGGAGTAAATCTGCAGTCTTTGGAGTCCAAAGACAGTCTGGATCCTGTTTTTCTTTATTTTCTGTCCTTATGAACAGCAACGTTTGCCTTTAGAGGCATAAAGTGATAGTGTGGGTGAAGCTTAACACATTCATCATGCACATTAGTAAGAGTTTTCAGAAGTATCGGGGAACATCCGTCATTCACACAGTCTACAGCCATTTCCCAGAACTCTCAATGGCAATAAGATTTACGTGGCTAAATACACAATTATTGCCCCCCATCCCACACACAAACACTTTTCTTTCTATTTCCAGCTTTAACACAAGATCTTATTTAACGAGCTCTTGTGCTAGAAGTAGGGCAAGGCATAAATAAAAGGCTCTCTGTGGGGCTTCATTCACTGAGGCAGAACTCTTCACACTATCTTAACGTGGCTTGGACATTTCAGCAGCTTGCAAATTAAGGGTCTTTGGTCATTGTCACTCACAGGAGACCCTTATTTCACCCCAGAGTATAGAGTCTCCAATGTAGGGCTGCAGCGAGAAGGGGGGAGCATGACAAGGGAACAGTGGGAATAGACTGTGGTGAATGTTTTCAGCTTAGATTCATAAGCTCATCAGAGAAGAGGATATAACAATGTGCATAGAGTTTACACTCTTAGACAAGCAGGACGTGTTTGTTCATGCCAGTCCTGAAAGCTGAAAGAACTTGCCAACCACAAAATCATTCATATTCATTCATTATAAAGGTAGGGGCTTTTTAACCTGTACAGAACACAACATCCTTTATCGTTAGAAACTTGATTAATTTAGTTTTTCATATTTGCTGCTGCAGCCTTTCCATTAGTCAGCGATGGAGAAGTAAAAGTAGCAATACTACAGTGTAAAAATATTCAGTTACAAGTAAAAGTCCTGCAGCACAAACGTATTGGCATCAAAACATACCTAAAGTACTAAATGGCACAATTCACATTCCTCTATATCATATTATTAGATTATAGTTACTGATGCACATCACATTTAATGTTGCAACTGGTAAAGGGGAGGCTAGTTTTAACTAGCTTGCTCTATAGGAATTTAATTTGGATTAGATTAACTTGTGAATTTTCCGCCATAGATCAAAGAGGTCTTGTACTGCATTTTGTGTATTAATCTGGTTCTGAAACATAACTAGATAAGTAAAGGCAAAAAACAAATGTAGTGGAATAAAAAGTATAATATTTGCCTCTAAGATGTAGTGAATTCAAAGTATGAGTTAACCGAAAATGAAAATACTCAAAGTACAGATACCTCAAAATTGTACTTAAGGTACAGTACTTCAGTTACTTTCCACCACTGCCATTAGTACATTTGCAGTGCCATTTAGGTTAAAGTGTCTCTGGCAGTTATTCAGACATGAGATTGTGAAACTGCCATTACATTTGGTGCATGTCTGCAAAGAGCTACATGAAACCAGTTTAGCAAATGATTAATTTTATAAAAAAATTTATTTCCCGTTAATTGTTTGGTTTATAAACTGTCAAAAAATAATGAAAAAACATGACGTTATTTGCCGGAGTGATGAGCAATCTCTTCAAATTGCCTAGTGTTTCTGACAGTCCAAAATTAGAAGCTCTTCCTTTTATAGCGATGTGATATAGACAAAGGTAAGAAGTTGGCACCTTAGATGAAATCACCAGTTGTGTGAATGACAAATAATATCAATGCTATAATGTTAAGACTGACTTCTTGCAACATTTACTCAGCGGTTTCTCTAAAACCCTTCCATCTAGCAAATTTATTGGCAGTTTACTTCCACTCTGGTCCTTAAATCTTTACAGTAACACAGATTTGCAGTGTTTAAGTTGATGCAGCCATCTAGACTGCCTCCCTCTCTCACAGCGGGTTTGTGTATTTAAGGCAGACCTTCTGATAGCGGCGGCTGGTTAAGGCCCACAACTGGAACAGTTCTGTGGGTGAGAACATAGTTTTCTTCAGTAAATACCTATTAACTGAGCTGCCTTGAGAACACTGAAACAGAAGTCATGGTGATGAAAGGTTGTCTTTTTATAAAATATACATGTGCAGTAGACTGTACGTACTTGACTCCTGGGCTTGGGATGCATAAATCAGGTGGATGTTTTAATGACTGTGTTCCCAGTACATGAATACCACTGCTCTGATCTTGAAAGGCGTTATGAGTTTCATCCAGAGCATGGTCAGGAATATGTTAATATAACTGTTAGTATGGGTAAGATTATAAAACAAAAAATTTGAAAATTTTGGCACCAAGGATTGGTTAAAAGAAAGATTTTCATGCGTACGGCACCAAAGAATGTTGAGAATAATTGTTTCATGTATTATTAGGAGAGCAAATCTTGGTCTTTAATCTGCTCTCATAATTTTAGCCTGCTGATAAGGTCGCAAGATTTGAATATATCTTACACTTAAGGTCTGTAGTGCCTTTGTAATATAATTTACAGTATGAAAGGGGTGGGAAACCCTGGAGCAATGATAGATTGTTGCACTGGGCATGGGCTCAGTCTCCTGGTCAGGTCTGGAAATGAGATTTTTAATTCTGCTCCTACAGTGGACATTATACATACAGTAGCTCTGAGAATAGAATATTATGGTAAACTGAACAGTAAGTTGTGTCCAGGTCTCTACAAATGAGCTATATAAGATTTTTCATGAGCAATGCATTTTTACCTGTTCAGAATTTGAACACTAGAAGAAGAAAAAATAACTAGTACCCAGTACCTATTTAAGAATCCAGTAGAAACAGAGCATGTTTTCTGATCTCGTCCTCCTATCGACAGCACAGCATCATCTGTTAGTGCCTTCCCAAGCATTACACATCACAGATGGGAAAAGAATTCAGTTTTCTGACCTGATAAAGCTGTGATAAAGCTTTGATCAGGCTAAGATGCAAAGACAAGTAAAGTAGGATTAGAAAAACATTATGGTTCTACTGTACATCTGGCTTTCCAGCTGCTAGACACTCACTGTTCTCCACCAGCCACTTATTCACCATGGCCCTCTTTCTTCTGGTGCCGGGAAGTGTGTACCTCGCTGTGGTTTGCGTCATAAAACCAGTGGAGCTCAACCACACATTCTAGGTGCAGTTTGAGAACCAAAACAATGTGTTAAAACTGGCTAAAATCCTTGTAGAACTTGACTGAGTGATTTTCACCAAGTTCAGCACCGGGAGCAACACTTCCACTTTACATACCATCATTTGATTTGATTTAAAAATGTAATTTAATGGAACTTTAAACTGATTTGCCTGATGAGGCACAAAATTAAACTTTAATATTTTCATCTTTGAAAGGCCATAACAGCTACTCACAAGTTTAATTTTAATAAAACTTGCAGAGTTTTTATTAAACTTCTGAGACTGGCCCAAGGCAAGTTAATAGACCAGTCATTTCTGAGGGTTGACATGTTTCATTTAGTTAATGTTTTTTTCTGATATTTTTATTTGTGGCTACATCCAGCCCACATTTTTGGGTGCTGGTACTGTTCAAATTTTGAGAACAAGTTAGGGCTGCCAACATTTTTCTTGCTGCCATGGCTCCAGATTGTGGATGATGCATGCAAACTGCATGATAATATTTTTGTTATAGATGGAAAAATCCCACTGTAGGTACACACCACCTTGTAAAAAACCCAATGAATAGTTCATACAAAAAAAAGAAGTTGTCCAACAATTTTCACAGTTCTCATTAC